AACTTCCAGCCCATTGTTTATATTTGTACATACATGAATACATGTACCCATAAAACAAATATGTAGTTTTGGTTTTTTATGTTGTAATTTGCATAAATGCTGTACTATATGCATCTTGCTTTCTTTACAAAACATCATGGATACCATGTTTTTCCATTTAACATCACACATATCATATGTTTCCACTTCATATCATAGGTTGATCACCAGATCATCATTTTTAACAGCTAATCAGTATTCCACTGCATGAATATACTACATTATATTTCTCTATTTCCCTACCGATGGGCATTCAGCTTGTTTCTTGTTTTTCTCTATTATAAACAAGACTATATGGAACGTTTGAGCACAAGGACAGGAGCATCCCTGTGGATCTGGCCCCGAGGGTCATTGCTGGTGACAGGGTCTCTCCTCCTCCTCATCCCTCAGCCACAGCTGGTTCAAACTCTCATCTTTTACTTGGACAGCTGAGCCATCCATCCCCGGAACTGCTCTCAGTCTGGTCCCTCCTGGTTACTCACCACCTGGCTAGGTACAAACCCCCCTCGTCTGAATGACACACAAGGACCTTCAAGAAGTGCCTGGTTCACCTGAATTAAAATAAAAGCCCCAGTAGGACTTCCGTGACAGTCCAGTGGCTAAGACTCCACACTTCCACTGCAGGGGACACGGGTTCGATCCCTGGTCAGGGAACTAAGACCTCACATGCTGTGCAGCGCAGCAGAAAAAAAGAAAACAAAACCCTAGTAACTGGGTGACCTGGCCCACCTGGCCCCCCCTCCCCCATTTTGCTTACAGTCCGCTCTTCCTGACATTTCCTCCCTGGCCCTCCCTCCCTCCCTCCCTGCCTTCTCTAAACAACCTCCCCCAATTCCTTGCTATACCTTTTGCCCTCAGAACCCTAGGTCAAGGTCTGCAACTAGCTTTGCCGGTCTGTCCTCCATTACCAGGGAGGTTTGTCTGGATCCCCTTTGTTACTACCTGTTAAATAGACGTCTGCTTTTATGTACCACCCTTCCAATCCAACAAGCTCATTCGCAAGGAATAAAAACATGATAATATACATGGATTCTGTTATCTCAGCTGCTTTCAAAAGGGACACACAGTCTTCACGTTTCAGAATAAAATGTGAAATTCACTATCTCTGAAAACAAGAAAATACTTACAATTGAAACGACCAAATTTGTAGGATCCAATAATTCTGTCCACTGAAGAAATCTTTGAATAAAAGACTTAAGAGGGGCAAGAGCACCAGAGAGGTTAATGGCAGCAGAAAAACCAAGATACATGGTAATAAGAGCAGTCGATATTATTTTTGAGAACCTAATAGGGCCTTCCTCTTGCAGCATCTCCTGGACTCCTCACAACAACCCCATCTTACAGGTGAGGCAACTGAGGCTTCCAAGGACTCACGAATGGATTCAAGGAAACCCAACCAGGAAATGACCCAATGGCCTGTGCTCTTAACCACTCCAATATCAAAGTGCTCTTGAGGGTTAAAAGCCCAGACTTTGGGGTCAAATGGGCTTATGTTGACACCCCACATATGACCTTGAAGCACTACCTAGAAAGGTCTCAGAATCTGTTTCTTCACCCTCCTGCGGTGGTTATAAGGCTTAACTCTAGTCATAAAGAACCAGACACCCCAGTGAAGGCCCAATAAAGGCAGTTCACATATGGAGAAAGCAGGCATGGTTTGCTCCTAAAAGTCCCCAAATTTTGCAGTGGTTTCAGCTTTGAGGCCTGGCTCTGCCAGGACACCTTGAGTACCTTGTCCTTCCTCAACATCCCCACCTAAGAGAACCAGGCTAGACTCTACTTTAGGTAAAGGCTGAAAGAGAACACTCTAGAACTGTGCTGTCCAATTAGCCACATGTGGCCAGGCCAAATTGAGATGTGCTGTATGTGTAAAAACATACACGGGATTTCGAAGACTTCCTACAGAAAAGGAGGTAAAATACCTCATTCATAATTTTCTATATCGACATGTTGAAATGTTAATATTTATATCTGTTGGGCTAAATGCAATATATTATTAAAATTTAAATTTTAAAAGCCACGTTTTTTAATGTGGCTACTAGGAAATTTGGAATTACCTATGCATCTCCCATCCTATTTCTACTGGACAGCGCCGCCCAGCCCCTCTCTGAGATGGGGCCCAGGTTACTTTCCGGCCATGGCGGCTTCCCGCAGCCCCGAGTCTCACTGTCCGCTGGCTGAGCCTACAGACTCGGGGAAGCTGGGGCCTCCTGGGAGGACCTGTTCCTCTCCAACCTGATGCCCAGCAACAGCTTAGGCAGCGGAAGGCAGACCCCTGAGTGGTGGGGAGTGACTCCTCAGTTCGTGCAATCTGCAGGGGGATACTGTGCGACCCTCGCTTGCGAGGCCTGGGGCAGAGGCCACGCACGGTAACAGCCATGGCCGTCGGCATCCGGCACGCTTGGGTTTCCTTCGTCCCCTCCCGGGGTCTGAAATGGGAAGGCGGGTGCTGCGACCATGTGGCCTGCCCAAGGTCACCGCGGCCAGCGGCGACTCCACGCCGCGCGGCCCACGCCCTCCCCGTCCCCAGACGCGCCAGGCCCGGGCCGTACTTGGCGTTCGGTGATCCAGAAGCGCACGTTGGGCTCCATGCGGGCTGCGGCGCTGCTGCACCCGAGGAGCCGCCCAGCCCCCGCGCTTCTTCCTCCAGCTGCTCCTTTTCCTGAGACCTACGAGCTGCCGGGAAAGGCCGCGGCCGCCTGGCCCGGCGCGGAGGAGGAGCCGGGCGGCGAGCCCCGCCCCGGGCACGCGCGCGTCCCCTTTCCCCGCTTCCGGGGCCGCGCGCCCGCCGCTCCTCGGCATTACGCGCCTGCTGTTCCGGCGCCCCGGGCCCCGCGCTCCTGCTGTTGCCGTGAGCCCACCTCTCCCACAGGTCAAGGCCTCCCACCCTTGCTCCGCCCTTTCGGGTAGCCTGGTCGCCTCCAGGCCTAGAGGGGTCACCTATGGAACCCCCAGATCACGGTACCTACCGCGAAGACCCGATCAGGTGGCGTGTGGCGCCTTCCACAGCCTCGCCCTGCGCTCCTGCAGCGTCCAACCACCCCCCCCACCCCGCAACCCCAGCACAGGCTTTTCGATATCACCCTCGAAAATCCCTTCAATTGCACCTAAAGTCCAGCGTACACGGGATCAGGGTAGTCAGGACTCGCTAAATAATTTGCGTGGCCCAGTGAAAAATGAAAACGTGGCGCCCCTTATTAAAAAAAGACTGCGAATTTTCAAAAGTCGATATCAGAGCATTAAACCGAAACCCCGGGGCCCCTCTAAGTTAAGTGTCGGGCCCTGCCGCCAGCCCGTGAAGCTGGCCCTGATTTGAGTGCACTATCTCTCTCTCTGCCCAAGGGTTTTTCCCCAGCGCCGGGGCAAATCCAGCTCCTTCTGTTGGATACCAGATCAGGTAGGGACCATCTGCAGAGAAAAACGTGCCTTCTTTCCGCCTTCCACCCCATCCCCCAGCACTGAGGGGGGGGGGGTTGTGTGTGTTTGTGGAAGACGTGTGGATGTTTAGGGTGTGCAGGGGGCTCCTCAGGAGTCCTGGGCTGGGGACCCAGCACCATCCACTACTTGGTTGTGTGACCCTGGTCAAATCACTATCTCCAAATCTACCTTCTCATCTGTAAAATGATGACAGTAATTGTACCTATTTTGTTTTTGTTGTGGATCCAATGAGATAAAACATGTAAAAGCCCTAACAGTGCTGGCTCAGTCTGGGCCACTTACAGGCAGCTGGCCTTTGCCCTCCCTTGCTTTGCCTTCCCCTCTGGGAACATGAAACCAGCTTATCGGAGGCCCATGTGGCCTCTCAGCTCCCACTTCTGCTCAGCTCACTTGGCTCACTTTTCCATAGGCTTCAAGACTTCATCTTGTCCTCCAGGAAGACTTCCTTGATGCCCATAGCTGGGTAAGGTGCCCCCTCCTCACTGTTCCCCAGTGTTCTATGCCCCAGGAATGTATCTGTTGCACCACAGTTTAGCACACCTGTATTATCCTGCTGGCTCTCCCTGCAAGTGTGTCACAGATCCAGCCCACCTGACCTGCTTCCCTCTCTGGACTGTCTAGCCTTAACAAAGGAGCCAGAGTGATCCTCTTAGAACAAGTTGATGTAACTCTTCTCAAGAACATTCCTGACATTTCCCATCTCAGAATAGAATCCAAAGTCCTTAGCTTGCCCATAAAGCACTCTGGGCTCCCCATTACCATGCTTCTTCACAGCTCTGGTCACATGGCCCTTCAATTCTTCACCCACCCCAAGTCCACCCTTGCCTCAGGGCCTCTGCACCTGCCATGCCCTTTGCCTAGAACCTTCTTATCCTCCTTACTTCCTCACCTACATGTTTTATCTCATTTGATCATCAAAACCCTAAGATAGGTACAATTACAGTCCTCATTTTACAGATGAGAAAACAGACCTGGAGAGACTGACTCCCTGAAACCCTTTTAGAACACACCTGCAACACTCTGCTCTAGTCCCTTGCTCCACTTTATTGTCCTTCCAAACATCCTATGTATTTTTTTTTGGCCATGCCACAAGACATGTGGGATGTTAGTTTCCCCCACCAGGGACTGAACCCGCGCCCTCTGCAGTGAAAGCGTGGAGTCTTAACCACTGGACCGCCAGGGAAGTCCCCCTATGTATTTTTATTATGTTTACTCCCTCTAGAATTTAAGTGCATAAAGGAAGGGGTGTGTCCTTTCTGTTCACTCTCTTGCCTCCAAAATAGTACACAGCATATGGTAGGAACTCCAGGATTTATTAAAATTAACAAATGCTTCCATGTTTCTTTTGCCCCCTAAACTGAGTTTCTTGGATGTGGAGCCAGCATCTTATTCATCTTTGTAGCCACTGAGTTCAATGTTCAATAAATGTCTGTTGATATAATCAGAGAAGGAAAACTAGAGTCCCACAGCATAAGCTGAAACAATAAATTAATGGTGTTAAAAATGCAAGTATTAAAAAAAAATGCAAGTATTTTAAAATGTTTATTTTTATATTTTTTTACATTGAACACTTCAGGAAATAAAATAATTACCATGATTCAAATGCATGAATGATTCAAATTCAAAATGCAATCCCTGGATTCAATAATTATCCTTTATAATTATGCCCAATAAATATTAGAAATGTATGTAGGCACTAAGTCAGCTAACAAAATAAGTAAAATAATTATATAAGGTATAAATCTCTGGACTGGGGAACATGCATGGTCAGTTAAGTCACTTGGCCACTGTAGGTGGTTTTTTAAAAAACATGATTCACATCTGCTTCAGTCACATACACATTCATTGCAAGTGTTTTTTGTTTTTTTTTTTTTCCCCTGGCCACACTGCATGGTATGTGGGATCTTAGTTCCCTGACCAGGGATCGAACCCATGCCCCCTGCATTGCGAGCACAGAGTCTTAACCACTGGACCACCAGGGAAGTCCTGCAAGTGTTAAATTAGACCATTGATGCTAACAACTTAAAACTATGATCTTAAAAGAAAATTCAGTTTAAAAAAAGAAAAGAAGAAAATTTCAGGACCTTGATCAGAAGCTTTTGATGCCTGTCATACTACGCTAGTGTACACAAAGGTTCAAGTAAGGCTGATAAAGAAGAGTTGTTTCCTTTTCCCTCTGAAGACATGATCCAAGAAATAGGGGAACTGCACATTCTATAGCAACTAGCCACCCATCCATACACTGCTAATAAAGGACTCCCTACATTAGTAACTAACCACATTTTAAAAGCCTTGGCCAATGTTACAAAAACAAAACATTTAGAGTAATATTTACGAATCCAAGCATAATTGTTTTTTTGCCTTCTATACATAATCATCTTTGAAATGCTGAAAGTGAGTTCCAGCTGTGGTTCTTTTCTGGCGTGGGAAGCTGCAGGTGCATATCGGATGGTCTACTGATTTACCTTCTCAAAATATTCTTTGGAAGCAGTCGGATGGGGCTTGATCTGAAAATACAAAAACATTTCACTGGGTAAGTGACTTTATGATCTCAAAAGTGAGTTGAAAGCCATCAATTTTTAATCTAAAGTTCTTTAACTTTTTAAAGATTGGTCTGTTTCCTTCAAAATACCTGGATGAAACTTACATTAACAGCCTGCCTGGTGCCTGGTCCCACCCCCACCTGCACCAGCTTCACCCATTTGCACACAATCTACACCCTTGCTCCAAGGGTGGGCTTCTTTCGTGGATATTCCAGGCCAGCAGCCCTTGAGGCAGTGAGGACCTGGGACCCTCTGCTGGGGTCCCATTGCTTTTGGAAAATAAACCTACTGTAGGAGAATCTGGTGTCCAGTCGGCTGGGCAGACTTCTCCATGGGTTTCTACAAACTGGAATGCCTTCACCAAGCGGAGGGTCTCTTCCACGCTTCGGCCCACTGGGAGATCATTGACGCTCAAATGCTTGATGACTCCGTTGGGGTCAATTATGAAGAGACCTCTGCATCAGAATTTATCATCATCAGTATTTCAACATTACCAGAGCTAGAAAGACTCTAACTTCTACCCCTTTTTGTCTTTAATTATCCTTGATAGAGCACTTATTAATAAACTCTATCATATGCTTAAAAATGGGGTTTTCCTTGCTATACAAACAGCTTATCATCTCTTATTGATGACAGGACTGGACAAGGCCACCATGGAAAACAGGCAGTACGGTCACATTTACAAATGTGACCCATATGTCGCAGAATCTGTAAGTCACTGAACTACAGAGAGCAAAGACTTCTTACTAGTGATGTAGTAAGCATTCTTTGGGCTGCTGCATCAAATCTTGGCAAGAAACCATAGGCAACTAGGAAGGGACAGAGATGTATTTTATCTGTATTCAGTAAGTACTTATGAAATGAGTGAATTCTTGCGTGGGGGGGGGAAAAATCCCATGGGAAAATTTACTGGCCTTGAGGCTATGCAGAGCAGAAATCTAAAGGAAAAACGAAGCCCATCACTTTTATTTATTTTGGTTGCCCTGAGGGACAGTTGGTACAGGAAAAACAGAATGAGTGCTTAGTACTATTCCATTATTAATAGTTTTCAAAATAATGAACTGGTTCCCTGGAACTCTCCAAATCATCGATTTAAATATATTTGATGTGTTTCAATCACTTCTAGTTATTACTTTTATTGTCAGATTGTCCAAGCCCATCACTCTTTGTCACTTGGCAGCAATGTAATGAGGTGACCCACCCTGGGGTCTGTGCTCATCTTCCATATGAGTGTTGGTGTTACTATGACATATGCAGATGTCATAAAACTCCTAGGTTTTTAACTGTCCATCTTTAAAAGGGTGTGGCATTCCAAGTGTTAATCACTCAGGAAAAAGACAAGTTAGAGAAAACTCAGAAGATAAAAAGGTGGTTCCCCCTCCCTGGGCCTGACCTTTGGGGGTCTAGGCTTTGAGGCTAAGGGGTCCTGGTGCATGCCCCTGCAGGGTGCAGCCAAGGTGGAGTCCACCGTTTAGATGCAGACACAGGGCTAGGATGGATCAGGGCCCACAGACTCCAGAAAGAAAGCCTCATCTTACAAGTCAGACTCGACTCCTCTCCCTTTGTCAATCCTGATAGTGAAACCAGGAGGGAGGTAACTGCAAAATTAGCAGGACTCTACAGGGAAGGACTCTTCCCTTGGCGCCTCTGTCAAAGCTAGGCTTTAGTTTATGAACGGAAGACCGTAATCCCCTTGGAGTCAAAAAGGCCCAAGCTCCAAGGTGGCTCCCGGAGCTAAAATTTCAGGTGTAACCCAAGCAGGCCAGACGTCAGCTACAAGAGCAAGCAGGTGAGCGGGTTCAAGCCAGCCCCCAGCAAAACTGTGAGGCGCATCCAAGTGGGGTTCTCGCTTCCTTCCTGGAGGTAAAGTTTTGCCCAATCCCTCCTTCATTCAGCAGCCATCAAGACGCCAGTTCTAAGGCCTAAGTTCTCATCCCTCCCGGCAAGGTTGACAGGCTGGGACAGGTACTAGAACCTGTGCCAAAAACTCTGTAGCTGCCTCACCTTATTTAATCCTCACAACCAACCTGGGAGGTACATTCTCATTTTAGTTACAGGAAAAATGGGACTCCAAGAGGTTAAATATCTTGCTCAAAGTCATACAGCTATTAAGTAGCTGAGTTTAAATAAATTCAAACTCCAGTCTGGTTCCAGTGCTTGTACAAGATCCTAACCATTCCAGAAAACGGACTCCTACCCTTGCTGGCCAACCCCCCACCCCCCGCTCATCTCCAAACAGTCTGATGGCTTCATCACCAGGAGTGGCTCCCAGACAGTCAGGGAGAGTGGAGCAGTGTGACCATCAAGACATGATATCTTTCTTCAGAAACAGGCCCAGGGTGACGCAGGGGGCACACATGTCTCAGCCATTTCTGAAAGACTGCCAACCCTTGCAGGAGGCATCCATCAGTGCTTATTAAAAGACAAATTAAGGATTTGGGGTTCTAAAAATTCCCTACCAAGGTGTCTATAAATCCCCTGTGAAGTAGGATGATGCTAAACATGAAAACCAATTTTAAGTTCATAAGAAACAGATCTTACCGTAGTGCAAGGCCGGGATCTTCTAACAGCACACCGTAGTCTCGGGAAATCTGTTTAGTCAAATCTGACAAGAGTGTGATGTGCATGTGGCCCAAACCGCCATTCTAGTAAAAATGCAAACAGGGCTGGTTGTTATACTGTGGCTCCCGCAGCATCCTCGGCCAGGCAACACAATGTCTGACTGACGGTGGCAACGGACAGCGGTAACCGAGCACCAACAATGGGCCGAGCGCTGCTCTAAGCTCTTTCTGTTGTCTCACTTCCTCCTCTAAGCATCCTGGAGTAGCTACTATCATCACCACCACCGTACAGATGAGAAAACCGAGACACACAAAGGTTAATTAACTTGCTCCAGGTCACAGCTAGAAAGGGGCAGAGGCAGGATTTAAACCCAGCTGATACTACAGACCTTTCTTTTTCTAATTCTTACAGTATCCTTTTGGTTGAAGATTAATTTCTGAAGCATAAAAATGGAACAGTTTAAAAAAAAAAAGAATACTTCGAATAATTTGATTGATAGTCCAGCAGCATAGCTAGAAATTTTGATTCTCCCAAGCAAGTTTCTAGGCAAGAATACTGACCGTGGAGAGCAGTGAAATCAGAAAACTTAATCACTGTCCCACATGGCTCGCAGGGTCCCGGGGACCTACAGGGTACACGTGAGAGGGAAGGCAATTAACCCCAGCTGTTCCCCTGCCCTGCAGAGTCTGTTCTCTGTTACTGTTTGTACTCTGGAAAATACAAGTGTAGTGGGGAGTAAATAAATGCAATGTTAAAGGAGATATGGGTGGGTAGAGTTTAACAGAATTTGCCAGTAGGTTAGGCCTGACAAATAGCCCATTTCAGACTAGTCATGCTTTAACAACTTCTACGTTGGTCTTTAATGGGATCATTTGAGTTTTTAAGATCACAAGTGCAGACACAGCGTGAATGATGTTTATACCTTCCTTGGTGTGTTTATCCAGGCCAGGTGGGTGAAGTGGGAATCCACTGACACTGCAACGACTTCACAGTTCACATCGTGAAATTCATTGGCTTTGTCACTGAAAGCAATAATTTCTGTAGGACACACAAAGGTGCTAGGAAAAAAGGGTAGAAATTTTCATCAGAGAATTGAAAAACAAGGCTTTAAAATCTGAACAATAGGTGTCTAAAAACTAGTTCAGGGACTTCCCTGGTGGCACAGTGGTTAAGAATCCGCCTGCCAATACAGGGGACACGGGTTCGAGCCCTGGGCCAGGAAGATCCCACATGCCACAGAGCAACTAAGCCCATGAGCCACAACTACTGAGCCTGCGTGCTGCAACTACTGAAGCCCGCAAGCCTAAAGCCCGTGCTCCACAACAAGAGAAGCCACCACAGAGAAGCCCACTCGCCGCAACCAGAGAAAGTCCGCACGCAGCAATGAAGATCCAACGCAGCCAAAAATAAAATAAATAAATGATTAATTAAAAAAAAACTAGTTCAGTTTGCTTAAAGGTGAGAAAGGCAAAATGGTTAACCATCCTCACTGGACTCCTGGTCACAATGATACTCCAATTAAAAAAAAAGATTTATCACCTTTCTATTTAAGAATCATATTTAAAAAATGGGGGTGGGGAGGCATATTCCAAGAAGACAAAATTTTATCTAAATAAAGTAGCTTCATGAGAAAATTCATTTTATCCTTACTTTTCTCATTTTCCCCCCGAACCAGTGAAAACTTCCTCACAGACTGGCTTACAGGAACCACTACTCCAGAGTCCGTACATTAAACCCCTGCCCCGTTAAGAGGAATGCCACTTCATCCCCTACATTTATCACTTGTAAATTAGCTACAGATGGAAACTGTATCAACAAGACCATCAGTGATAAAGGGTCAGCAGCAACCCTCCCCTTGACAAGGGTAACTAGAGACAGGCAATGTCAGCGGGGAGGCAGGGATCTCTGCTTGCTCTCAGGATGACATTAAAGCATCACAGAAAATACACTTACAAATCCAAAGGATAGAAGAAGAGCACTAAATATTTCCCCTTAAAGTCATCAAGGCTTATTTCTTTGAACTCTCCATTGACAACAGCTGTACCCTTAAAATAGGGCGCATGCTGGGTGACGGCAGGGGCATGGCATGAGGAACCTGAAAACAAAACATAGCACACACATATATAGTTCATGTGTTAAGCCAAGCACTTATTTGATTTTATTTAATCCTCTCACAGTAATTAATTAATAGTATAATTAAAAGTTCAGTTCAATTGTACATCTTAGGTAATTTTTTCTCTTTTCATAGTTCTAGACTGTACACAAATTCAAAGTGCTGTGGAAACTAAAAAGACAGGAGATAGTAGGGATGGAATGAACATAGAATTAAGGACAACATGACCCTCGAGGTGGATTCTAAGTATGGTTCGGATTTTGCCAAGACCAGGGCTAATGGCACAAAAGAACAGGGCAGGTGTGGGGAACGGCCCGTGGCAGAGCTTGATACAGAGAGCAGGTGTGCACGGAGCGAAGGCGTGTGGGAGACAAAGCAAGGCTGGTGAAGGCCATGCTGCAAGGGCCCTTATATATCAGGCCGATGAATCTGTTCTTAGAAGAGATACAGGAATCACTGGAGGCTTTCACGTAGGAGATGGATGATGGGTCAGCTGTTCTCAGGAAGATCAGTCTGTAGGGGACAGTAAGAGGAACAGGGAGGGGGGAGCCTGATGTTAGGAGGTGACTGCAGGCATCTAAGTGAGGGGTGTGGAGAGAAAGGGTACGGCAGAAGGAACAGAAAGAAAGGAAAGGATGTAAGAGCTGTGTCAGAATTGGAGAGGACATGCTTCTACCTGGGAAGGCAGGACAAAGGAGGCCAAGGGTCAAGATGCCTGGCTTCAAAAACAGGAGGAGCTGTTGGGAGGGGGGTTTGGGACAGGTGACAAGGAATGGTTTAAACCTGTGGCATCAAATCGCTACCAGAAATTTCTTAAAGCTCTGGGGAAGTAAAATTGTAAAATTTTTCAGAACATTTCACCCACAGAGGGTTTGCTAAAGTATATCCCCCGAAACCATTACATGTTAAATACACTCTTTTTAAAAGGTGGGATAGATCTAAAGGAGGCATTTCCAGATATGAGGCTGTACTTAGCAAACCTCATATTCTAGATAATGGAGTATAAATCTCAAGAAATAGCTGTGTGTCACTCAGATCATGGAGCAGTCCATTAGACTGGCCTAACATGGCCAAGTGGAGCCAGCCCACAAGTCTGAATCCAAATGCCTTTAGAGGAGCTGCACTGTCAGTCCCCAGTCAGCTCACACCCTTCACACACAGCAGGCCCAGAGGCCTCTGAGTGTTCTCACCCCACTTCAAGTTCCCCAACACGGGATTAAAACCTCTGGAACCAACAAGGAAATGCGACACAAGGGCAGATTGCCTCAGTGATTCTCAGCCCTTGGCTGCACACCAGAATCACTTGGTGAGCTTTTGAAAAATACTGATGTTCTGGTCTCACCCCAGAGACTGACTCATTTTGTTTGGGGTGGGACTGGGGCAGTGGTATGTTTGCAAAAGCTCCCCAGGGGAGTCTAATACACTGCCAGGGTTCAGAGCCCCTGTACAGAGATGACACATGTTGCCATTTTCTGGTTCAAACCAAAGCATAACAACACTTACTGGTGCTAAAGGCGAATTTTGCTTGAGCAGAGCCAGACCACAGTGCATTTGTCAAGCACGTTCTTCGAGAAGCAGCAGGCCGAAGGGCTGCAGAGGCAGAAATGCCCCAAGGAATGGCACTCACTTGTCGGACAAGCTAAAAAGAGAAACACTTTAAATTAGGAAGTATTCCCAGAATGGTGGCTGAATCCCTGCTGAGAGGGCATCAGGCCAGTAGTGGCCTCGGCTGTCCTTATTCCTGTGAACAAAAATACCAAACTCCAAACTCTAAGAGCATGGATTGAGTCTCCATGTTCTTAAAATTCCCTTCTGCTTCCTTATCCTTCAAGATTGTAAAGGGGGTAGGGGAGGAGGAAAGGGAGATGTTGGTCAAAGGGTACAAAGTTGCAGTTATGTAGGATAAGTCTTGAGATCTAATGTACAAGCATATTGACTAGACTTAATAATACTGTATTGAAGCTGGCAATATGTTAAGAGTAGATTTCAGGAGTACCCATCACACACAACGAAGTAACTATGTGAAGGGATAAGTCAATTGGTTTGACTGTAGCAATCATTTCATTGCGTATATCAAATCATGATGCACACCTCAAGTATTTTTTTATTTAAAAAAATATATAAATGAATGGAAAAAAAGAAAAGACTGCAAGGCAGAGAATTATAAGAACATAAAGACTCCATGCTTTTAAGAGCAGCCCAGAGGATTCAGAAACCGGGAAACTTGGCCAGGCCCTGTGTATTAAGCCCTTTACCAGCAGATCTGCTGAGCATGTTCTACTATGGTCAAGGTTTTCCCTAGAAAAGACAAGGGCCTTCCAGCTCCACAGAGAAGCAAACAAGCAGAGCAAAGGTCAGCCTCTGGGAAAGTTTGGACAGGGCTCAAGGGAAACGTTTGCTCAATTTCAGGGTCCAGCATGACTCAGGAAGAAGAAAGAGGCTGCGAGGGCGGGTAGCAAGAGGGTACTAGGCTTTGCCTGGAGAAAACGGCCCTGGGACCGCCCTGGGTGGGGAGGAGAAAAGCGCCTTTTGCACGTAAGCATTTTGGTTACTTTGGCATTTTGGTTTTCATCCAGCATTTAAGTGGCTGCTCGCGGAAACATCATTCTTTCTTTGTTAAGGTGAGGAAAGTTAACTGAGGTTCGGAAAGGAGAAGTCACTTGTCCAAGGTCACAGAGTCGGTTACAGAACCGGGACCAGGGGCCAGGTCGCCTGCATCGAGAGCCAGATGCTTAGGTGGAGAGGGGACCGGGGACCCACGACCTGGAGCGAAAGGGATTTGGGCAGGGGACCACAAGAAGGGTGGGTGGGGGGAAGGGCGGCTCTGCGCAGGCGCAGGGAGCCTTCCGTAGAGGAGGAGGCCTCTGGTCCGTTACCCTCCGATATACTCCAAGAAGGGTGAAAGGCCCCAAGGCCGCAGGGGAGCGGGATCCCATCTGGGAAGCACGTTCCCGGAGCCCCCACAGTGTCTCCGCGCCTGTGCCCCGCCGCCAGCCACTCACCGAAGTCCGTAGCAACCTTCCCGCCACGGCCGCCATCTTCAGGGTGCACGGCACCCACGGGGCAGACGGAGAAGCAGAGGAGGCGGGGTCTACAGGGAGGGCGGGGCCAGGGGCGGGGTCTAGGTAGGCGGGGGCGGGGCCCGGCCGGAGCCGCGGCGAGGAAGAGCTGCATCCTCCTAGACTTCTGGGGATCCTCCGCGTGTAAACGTCCCTGTGGTCGGGTCCCTTGACCCAATTCATACGGGGCTAATTCCTGTTAAAGCTTCTAAGTAGCTGCATGCTTGGGAAAGCGACACTTTATTTCTATTTGTCGCCCCAACCTAAAAAGGTCTAATCCAGGTGGGAAGATAGATATTTCCATATTTGCTACTTTTTGTGAACGTGTGGATTACTGTTTCTGTAAAAGAATCCCTTTCCTATTTCCGCCAGAGGGAGGTGTAGCCTTGTGGCTTCTGGATAAAATGGAATTAATTATTAATGCAGGGACTTCCCTGGCGGTCCAGTGGTTAAGACTCTGAGCTCCCAATGCAAGGGGCGCAGGTTGTGATCCCTGGTCGGAGAACTAACATCTAGCATGCTGCATGGCGTGGCCAAAAAAAAAAAAAAAAAAAATTATTAATGCAGTTTTAGTCCGTTAATAAGATGAGTGGGTCAGACACATCAAGTTTTGTGTTGTCCTCGAAACCTTTAGGATGATGCATGGGCTTCCATTTTGGCTTCTTTTGCCAAAATTGGGAGAATTAGGACATATCTAAAATTTGTTTTCTGTTGATTAGTAAAGCCAAGTTCTCAGTGGTGAGCAGGGTACTTTGAAGCAAATTCATCAAACATGATAAAAATCATACAGTGGCCCTACAGTAAGTGTGATAAAATGTAGATTCTAAGTGAGTATTTTTCAAACACCAGGCCTGTTACCTGAAAAACCAGGTTCGCCTCTCGTTGGATGTGGAGCCAAAAGACACAACCCAGGCAAAATCCGGAGGAGGAAGGATTTATTACTTGCAGCAAGTAAGGAGAACACCAGGGATCTTTCCCAAAGCGGTGTCTCCTCAAACAGGAAAACTGGGGAAGTTTTAAGCTAAGGGTACATGCGATCTTTCCCAAAGCAGTGTCTCCTCAAACAGGAAAACTGGGGAAGTTTTAAGCTAAGGGTACATGCATATTCATGAAGGGGCTTGGGTGGTAGAAAGAGTCCAAGTTTTTTTTTTAATTAATTAATTTATTTATTTTTTATATTTATTCTTGGCTGTGTTGGGTCTTCGTTGCTGCATGCGGGCTTTTCTCTAGTTGAGGCAAGCAGGGGCTACTCTTCATCGCGGTGCACAGGCTTCTCATTGCAGTGGCTTCTCTTATTGCGGAGCATGGGCTCTAAGCATGTGGGCTTCAGTAGTTGTGGCACACGGGCTCAGTAGTTGTGGCTCGTGGGCTCTAGAGTGCAGGCTCAGTAGTTGAGGCACATGGGCTTAGTTGCTCCGCGGCATGTGGGATCTTCCCGGACCAAGGATCAAACCTGTGTCTCCTGCATTGGCAGGTGGATTCTTAACCACTGCGCCACCAGGGAAGTCCCCAAGTCCAAGCTTTAAGTTCCAGTTGATCTGGTGGTTGAACGCTTCAGGCCAACCTTAAACATTGAAACAGACCTGGAAGTCTTTACAACTGATGTATTATCTTTGCTATAGTTTCTTCTCTTGCCTGATCAAGTAATTTGTTTTTGCATGCTTCTGTTCCCTTTAGATCATTAATTACTGAGACCTGTTCAAGGGCAAGTTCTGTGGCCAGGCTTAGATCACAAAATAGCTTAGGCCAAAAATGGCTTCTGTTAGGTCAAGAAAGCCATGCCTGGTTCTCTTTCTCCAAGGACCCCCCACCTTATCTACTTACAGGCCCAAGACAGCAGCCCAATTCCCAGATCTTTTGGCCACTGGAGAGGACGTTTCACTGCTTATCGCTTCTTTTCTAAACAGAAAGCTGAAGCAATTGCATGTGGTTCAACAGCTTGCCTCAAGTCACACAGGGATTCATTGGCAAGGGGACAATTAGAACTGAGAACTCTTCATTGGACACGTTGGTCTGCTGATATCTGTCTAAAGCTTATCTCCCTTGTCCTAAAAGGAATGAAATAACCTAGAATCTCAGGCCCAGAGGCCCAGAAGGAATTTCATACCAGAGCCTTTCAAGCCTGTTCAGAATTGCAAAGTGAGTGGCCTTCAGCTAAATCTCAGGCTACAGCCAAGGACTTCCCCTGGGAGGATAAGCAGAGTCCTCCACTTGTTCATTCCAAGAACAGATCATCTTAATTAGTATTTGTATTTGAGCACTGTTCTGCTAGGCCTTTCCTGACTACCTCCCCCATGGGTCTGGGTTAGAGAAACCTTGCAGGTACCTAGAAAGCTTTTCTCATTCTCATTTCTCACGTTTTTCTCATTCTCATTGCTCTTGCCACATCACATTGGAATTTTCTATAGTCTTCTCTAGATCTTAACCATACTGTGAGCTTCATGAGGGTAGAGCTCATGTCTTACTCAGCTCTGTGGTCCCCATGGCTAGGCTAGTGCCTGGCTCATAGCAACTGCTCAGAAAAATGTGTCAAATGAATGAATAAGCAGTGGCTGACATGGTGGCCAAAACGTTCTTTCCACATTCATTCTGGAAAAGACATCTCTTTATTCAGTTTTCTCTAGCTGTCACAACAAGGACACGGATTGTTCCCCTGAAGAAAAAAGACAAACTGAACTTGTCCTCATTACCAAAAGGGTAGAAAATAACTGAAATTCTTGCTTTTGAGTTTGGGAGAAGAATTTTTGGACCTAGTCGAGGGAAAGGCAAATGAAAAGATATATGCTACTTTTTATGATGATTAAGAAAATACCTCCCTGGAACCACAAGTTAATATTCTAGTAACTAGGGCTACAATTAGAGATGACAAACATTACTCTGGGTTTTGCTGAGTTCTTCCTCTTTCCACGGCAAAAAGCATTCATTTTTTTCCCCTTCTTTTCCCATTGACAAGGGCCCCTGGGTTCAGGGAAGATGCAGTCTCAACACTGAGCCATGTCTGCTAGCAAAGGCCTCTCCTGAGAACATTATCCCCCGGATTCCCACTGCATGGCCTCGTGCTGCTCCACGGTGAGCTCCTCAAGGGCAGGCAGCGGAGTAGCGGGTGGAGTCGACTTGTCCTCAGTTCAAAACCCCATGGGGAGGGCTTCCCTGGTGGCACAGTGGTTGAGAGTCCACCTGCCGATGCAGCGGACACGGGTTCGTGCCCTGGTCCGGGAAGATCCCACATAACGTGGAGCGGCTGGGCCCCTGAGCCATGGCCGCTGAGCCTGCGCGTCCGGAGCCTGTGCTCCGCAACGGGAGAGGCCACAACAGTGAGAGGCCCGTGCACCAAAAAAATAAAAACAAAAAACCCCATGGGGAATTCCCTGGCCGTCCAGTGGTTAGGACTCTGTGGGTTCGATCCCTGGTCAGGGAACTAAGATCCTGCAAGCCACGTGATGTAGCCAAAAAAAAAAAAAAACAAACCCCACAGACCCACAGATTGTTTCACCTTCCCAAGTCTGAGAGTCTCCATGCAGGAACACTCACCTCACAGGCTTCTTGTGAAGCTTTTTGTGAGGCTGGGTTGGGAGGGCCTGCCCACTGTAGGCCCCTGGTCACTTCATGTTCACTCACAGGGCAGCTCCCTTCCTGCCACCCCGACACACCTCTGCTTCCTTCTGAGCCTTTCCCCTCCTGTCTTTATTGCCTATTCCCCGCCTATTCCCTCTCCCCCTGCTCTTTATTCAGTAGATCATATTTTTTAGAGCAGTTGCAGGTTCACAGCAAAATTTAGTGAAAGGACAGGAGACTTCCCGTTTCCTCCCTGTCCCCGCTCCTGCACGGCCTCTCCCATATCTACATCCCACACCACGGTGATGCATTTGTTATAGTCCATGAACCTACATTGATGATGTCATTGTCATCCTTAGTTTACATTAGGGTTCACTCTGGTGTTGTACATCCTACAAGTCTGGACAAATGTGGTGACGTGTATCCACTACTATAGCATCATACAGAATAGTCCACTGCCCTAAAAATCCTCTGTGCCCCCCCAGTCATCCCTCCCTCCCCATACCCTTGGCTACCTATCCCCTTCTTAGAGCTGTGTCTCCCGTTCAGCCTGCCAACATCCCCACTCAGATAGCTCTTACTCAGCCCAGACTTACTAAACACAAGACCAAACTCTTGCTTTCTCTCCTCAAACCTATGCCTCACGGTGCCCTCCCCACCATCCCAGCCGACCAGCACTCAAAGGATACACGGTCTTCTCTCCACCTCCACTGCCACCACCTCAGCCCAGGCCACTGTCATTTCTCCCCTGGAATTTTCACAGCTTCTTAGGGCCTCTTGGTGATCAAAAAGGCTTAGGTCACTTCCATGATGTGAGGTCTATTTTAAAAGGGAAAGAAAACCCAACACAAAGTCCACACAGTTCTGTCCCATGTCTCTGTGTCCCTCAGGCCCTGCTACTTCTTTGGACTCCGCAGATTCCCAACTGCCCTTACCTGCATCTCTGTGTTGAGGCCTTTCAGAACTGGGGAAGGCCGGACCACCCTTCCCTATGGAAAGACAGAAATTTAGGAGAATTAACCCCTGCCCAGCGGCCCTCACAGTGGCCAGGTGGAGAGAGTTGGTGTAAAAATAGCCCAGCTCCCCTGCTCCTGGGTAGACAAGCTGAGGTGCGTTCCCAGAGTTTCCACAGGGATTAAGCTGGTCACCCATGGCGGTTTCTTAACACACCTTTACTGGGTGCTTTCCTATATGACTTCCCCCACCTCTCCTGCACTTCCGGCACCTCCCAGACAAGCTCCTTGCATTGAATCCCAGTGTCAAGGTCTAGGAGAACCCAAACTCAGACACAGCACTACAAAAACTGTAATACAGAATGCTATCCACAGGCTGATTACAGGATTTAGGTAGAAATATTTATTCGTAATTCACTCCACACGTGGCCCGTAGAACTCTATTTGAAGACGTTGCAAAAGTACAGGCTCGAGGCCCACCCCTTTACGCCTGGTCTGCCTGCTTC